AATAGAAGATAGGATTAGTCTGTATAGAAGATAGGCTTAGTTTGTATAGATACACTAATAGAAGATAGGATTAGTCTGTATAGAAGATAGGCTTAGTTTGTATAGATACACTAATAGAAGATAGGATTAGTCTGTATAGAAGATAGGCTTAGTTTGTATAGATACACTAATAGAAGATAGGATTAGTCTGTATAGAAGATAGGCTTAGTTTGTATAGATACACTAATAGAAGATAGGATTAGTCTGTATAGAAGATAGTTTTATTCTGTTTATGTTTTTTCTCTATGTGCGTGTGTTTTTGAATTTTATGATTTTAATATATACGAAACCGATAAGGAATTAAAATTACTTTAAGTTTTGAGGCTTTTGTGTTTTATTTTATTCTCCGATGAAGCGACCTCTAGCTTGCTTCTTTATATATATACATAATATTACGTTTAAAATCTAAGCTTTATATTTCACGATATCTTCAATGGAGCCTCTTTATAGTTCTACTAAACATTTTTTTTTCTAACTCTTAAAGCCTGGGTGAAGAGATAAGATTTAACAACCATCATGTATAATGTATTTTAGCAAACGATTTGGGCGTGACCTAGTGGTTATCATGCACTGGCTATGAAACCGAGGGTTTGCGGTTTAGAACTTATTGCCTCAAAAAATCTGTAACTCACTTTGGGGGGCCTACATGCATTATAAGCGTGACTGTCAGATCCAAATTTCTTCCCAGACGATAGTATATAACCCAATAGTTGGTTGTAGATGGTGTTGATTAGCTGTTTTCTCTATATTATATCAGTTTCAATTAGGGACGGACACGCGTAGATATCTACTGCGTAGCTTTGCGCGTAAATTCTTAAACAGATCAAACTCCTCCTTCTTACAACCGCGATGTACCATTTTATCCTGATCAATCCCGTTGTATTTACTATAGGTCCAAGTACACTAATATATATAACTTACAAGAATCAGTGAACTTTCTATGTAGGACTGGTAAGCCTATGGGCCACATTTACAGGGCCACTATAATACAAACTTCATGCTCGAACTACTATTCTGCGCTTATCCAGTTTAATTATTAGTGCCGCTATAATGAAAGTTTAATTTCTAGCCCGTGTGTAGTTTTGGAATTAGATAATTCGTCGAATTAATAAAATACAGACTTGTCAAACTTACTGTTATTTGTATCCTTGGTATTAAGAGCTTAGCGTAGTCTAATTGTCCATTACTTTGCTAGGAATGATTTAGCAGCCGTCTGTATTGTATAGACAAAAAATGTAAAAACTGATTCTATATAACAAAGTATACTTCCCTCACGATTGTGAACAGCCAAATATCTCTAAGGTTTAGAAGAACTGGAATGATAAGACTTATATTCTCTTCTATTATTGGCCAATTAGATAGATTCGCTGTATTTATTTTAATAAATCTTAACCTGAAACGAAGTTTGTTCAACTGACCGCTATTAATCCGAGTTGTGATGTTTTTAGTGTTAAGTGAATTAATGTCGTTTTTTTTTTACTAATGCTGTAATATAGTTGAGACATCCGGACCATCAAAACCTTAATTCAAGGCTTGTAATAGTATCTAATATTCATTACGCGGGTGTCTCCTTTTGAACCTAAACTACATTTTGATGGTTACGGAAAATTAAATATGTTTTGGTGCAAAAACTGCCGAAAGTGGCGTTATAATTTCGTATTTATTAGTTATTTCTTTTGCTTATATGGTGCTTCAATCTGACTTGAATCTGACTATGGACTTAAGCCTACATTCTAAATTGATTTCAGAAATGACCAAACTGAAAAAAATCTTGTCGTAACCCTAGAAAAAGTAATAGAATACTGATACTGAGAGTAAAATTCGATACTTCTAAAACGGTATATATATAAAACTACATGCAAAACCTCATAAAACAGGGGTCATGTAATTATCAACCATCATTTATTTAAAATGAGGCTTTAAATATGTTTGAAACACCCTTTTTTTTGTCATAGTATAACTTGAAATTAACTTCCAGAGTGTGGACTTGGTGTAAAACTAGGGAGTTTAGATTCGTTGTTTCTTTTAAAGACTAAAAGCAGTTTTCAGTTTCAGATAATCTTTTATACTTGTGTATAAAACAGATAGTCTTAATATATGTATTATATGTCTTAATATATGTATTATATGTCTTAATATATGTATTATATGTCTTAATATATGTATTATATGTCTTAATATATGAAATATATGTCTATATATGTATTACAACTGTCTTTCATTGTAAGTGTACTTTCGTTCGAATTTATATATTATTACAGCAATTATGCATTTGCTAGTATTACAGAAATTGTGAATTTGTCAACATTACAACGATTATGCATTTGCCAGTATTACAACAATAATACATTTGCCAGTATTACAACAATAATACATTTGCCAGTATTACAAGAATAATAACAATATTTGAATTAGCTACAAAAATACATCCTAATTACTTTCAATACCTAAATGACAAGCAATTCAGAATTTAAGCTTTAGAAAGACTTAGATATTCAACATGTGACTAAGCATGAAACATCATTTTAGGGCTGTTTATTGAGTTTATGAGCATTCATGAGTACAGTTTTCCTTTGAAAATATTCACTGGTTTGCTTGATAAACTATTAAATGTTCTAACCGAGTTATTAACACCAATGTTTATGTAAAGAGTAATAAAAACTGTACTTCAGTGTTAAGCTTTTATAAAACGAAACATATAAACGTATGGCTTGCATACATAACCATTTCTGTTTGTCAACTTAGTAACAGTTTTTATCAACTAATTCTAAGCAGTTGAAAGATGGCTTGTAACAGTTTTTATCAACTAATTCTGAGAAGCTGAAAGATGGCTTGTAACGGTTTTTATCAACTAATTCTGAGAAGCTGAAAGATGGCTTGTAACGGTTTTTATCAACTAATTCTGAGAAGCTGAAAGATGGCTTGTAACAGTTTTTATCAACTAATTCTGAGAAGCTGAAAGATGGCTTGTAACAGTTTTTATCAACTAATTCTAAGAAGCTGAAAGATGGCTTGTAACAGTTTTTATCAACTAATTCTGAGAAGCTGAAAGATGGCTTGTAACAGTTTTTATCAACTAATTCTAAGAAGCTGAAAGATGGCTTGTAACAGTTTTTATCAACTAATTCTAAGAAGCTGAAAGATGGCTTGTAACAGTTTTTATCAACTAATTCTAAGAAGCTGAAAGATGGCTTGTAACAGTTTTTATCAAACGAATTTCTGAACCGGAAACGGGATTTGGTCGAAACGTTGAATTGTTTGCCTGTCAACGAGATTCAAAAATGTATGGTTTAATTTGTGGCACATTTGTGAGTCTGCTGTTTTAGTCAACTTAATATAAGTTCAAACCTTTGGATATGCTCAACCTTAAACATCATGACACTAAATCACTGAATGGAAACAAGAACTTCCTTAGAAGTAATTACAATAACGAAATGGAGATTTTTACTTATATAGTGTCAACTGTCAGTGGTACTGATGTGTTTTACCAGATGTTAAAATTTTACTTCCAACCAATCATCATCGCTCTTTCTACGTTCTATGTGTTTTGATTGGCCATTAAATTGAGATTGTAGATTCGATATCATCATAATTCAACTACAAGGAACACTTACTACAGCTTTTCTCATCCTGAAATCTCTCGGCCCTGGTGAGTGGAGTGGTACGTTCACATTCCAGAGAGCGAGGTCGAAATGTACGAACCATTCATTTAGTAGTTATACGCCATATTCTCGCGTGAATTATCACACGGGAATAAAAGAAACTTGAAAATAGCACAGAAACGTTATGTGGGAATATTTCTCAATGGATGGAACCAATCATTCGATATGAATCAAGCTGTGAGCTCGCACGTCCTGTCTAATTTCGCACAAATCCGGCAGAATCAAACTGCTTGCGCCGCCGATAAAGTTCATAGGGAAGCGGCGACAGGATTTTAACACCTTCGCCGCAACGGCAAGATTTGATCTTGGCTTTTCCCACGAGTGGACAACGTGGCTGACACTGACGGCCAACGGGACGATGCCGCCAAGTTTCTCGGCACATCGTTCCTAGCGACCAATCAGCGAGCAGTAAAAATACATAATACGCGTGACCCTCTGGTTCCCACCCCTTGTCTTCTTTACCAGGAGATCTGTCTCAGGACTTTGGAGATTGTTGGCTGTAACAAACTTCCTGAGCTTGTTTTGATTTCTTCCGCCCGAGATCGCTATCATCTGAACGAATTCCCTTTTTAATCTTTTTATTTTATTTTATTTTTTTATTTAAACAAAACCAAACTGGTCCTACCAAGAACCAGTCCAGTGTCAACGGTTTCATCTCTTCACGTTAGAAATGAAGCTACTCGTTTCGTTTCTCTTGGTTTCGCCGTTTCTATCTAATCCAGTTTCGGGAACATGGTGGTAAGTTCAACTCATACTTCCTCTGCTCGAACAGTTGCATCCTATAGTGTTAATGTCTTCTTCCTTCCGCTCTACTTCCTTCCTTTCATCTATTAATGAAACTAATTTTGTCTTATATTGGCTAAAACGATACATGATACTTCTGAATATATATATATAAACCTGAAACTAACAAATCAACTCTGCATACGAAAAGTCAATCTAATTTTAAAAGATCCTTTCTATGCTTCAACTGCTATATTATTTTGTTTTTGTTTTTAATCTGTTAGTTCCAAGCAATCCTTTACTTATATGTTAAAATATATACTTTTGAACTTTCACGTAGTTGAGTAAAAAAACGTTTTTTTTTATAAAAAACGATCTTTGTTTATCTTTTACTTTTTTAACTTATTTTTGCGGTTGAACAAAGTAAATATCTTTTACTTTTTTAACTTATTTTTGCGGTTGAACAAAGTAATTATCTTTTACTTTTTTTAAACTTATTTTTGCGGTTGAACAAAGTAATTATCTTTTACTTTTTTTAACTTATTTTTGCGGTTGAACAAAGTAATTATCTTTTACTTTTTCTCCTACTTAAGATGGCGGCTCGTAACACCGTACCTAAAATATTAGTTTTCAACTAACATTTATCATAATGAAAATGCTGGGGTAAGTTTTACAAACACCTATAGAGCTGTCACATCCAGCTGAGCCTAACTCAATGCAGAATAGATGTTCGAGAAAATCAGTATAAAACAGTAGGATAACTTCTTAAGTGAATAAACGCTAATAGGCTTAATTATTTTCGTTATGAGGTAAAGATTATTAGCCAGTTATCATCTTGATATGTAAATGTACAAACTTTTGTGGTAAAACGATAACTCTGAGATTTTTTTTATTACCAAATATGTCGCTTCTCTGTTGGTTACCCGCCAATATTGTCAATCTTCTAGAATGAATTCTGGTTTATACAATGATATTCAACCGAAAAAAAGACGAAAAACAAACAGTTTTTAGTTTAGGCTAAGCTTAAGATACTTATTAGTTATACAGTGGTTTCAGTTTCAGTTTGGGTCGTTAAATAGATGTAGTTATACAGTAGTTTTAGTTTCAGTTTTGGACGTTAAGTAACTGTAGTTATACAGTGGTTTTAGTTTCAGTTTCTAACATTAAGTAACTGTTGTTATACAGTGGTTTTAGTTTCAGTTTCTGACGTTAAGTAACTGTAGTTATACAGTAGTTTTAGTTTCAGTTTCTAACGTTAAGTAACTGTAGTTATACAGTGGTTTTAGTTTCAGTTTCTGACGTTAAGTAACTGTAGTTATACAGTGGTTTTAGTTTCAGTTTTTGGACGTTAAATAGCTGTAGTTATACAGTGGTTTTAGTTTCATTTTTGGACGTTAAATAGCTGTAGTTATACAGTGGTTTTAGTTTCAGTTTTGGAAGTTAAATAGCTGTAGTTATGCAGTGGTTTTAGTTTCAGTTTTGGACGTTAAGTAACTGTAGTTATACAGTGGTTGTAGTTTCAGTTATGTACGTTAAATAGCTGTAGTTATACAGTGGTTGTAGTTTCAGTTATGTACGTTAAATAGCTGTAGTTATACAGTGATTTTAGTTTCCGTATTGGAAGTTAAGTAACTGTAGTTATACAGTGGTTTGAACTTCAATTTTTCACGTTTTCAGCCAACATACGTAGGACTTGTAGGGGCGAATTATATATTTACTGCAGGATATAAAGTAAGTAGAACATAGGATTTTGTTTTCGTTAATCACGCAGACTGGTAACAAAAATAAAGTGATGATTTAAAGTTGCTTGCTTTGGTGTTGTTAAACACAAAGTTTGCACAGTGGGCTATCTGTGCCCAACCCACTATAAACGGGTATCGGAACCCAATTGTTAGCGTCGTAAGCCGGCAGAATTACCATTGAGCCACTGGGAGGCTTATTTAACAGCAGTGAGAACCTGAGAATAAGAATTTCCATGGTAAATACATATACTTAGTTTGCTTCGTATCTATTTCGACACATCATGGTAATGAAGGTGTTTTAGCACGGGGTCAGCCGAGGTCATTGACGGGTCAAATACGCTATTTAAAAAAAAAAGACGTGAGATTGAGAATACAGAAGTTAACGAGTAAATATAAATATTTCATTTAAGTAAATGTCGCTCCCCAGTGGCACAGCGGCATGTCTGCGGACTTACAACGCTAGAAACCGGGTTTCGATACTCGTGGTGGGCAGAGCACAGATAGACCTTTGTGTAGCTTTGTGCTTAACTTCAAACAAACAAACAATGAGTAAATGTCGCTCCCCAGTGGCACAGCGGTATGTCTGCAGACTTACAACGCTAGAAACCGGGTTTCGATACTCGTGGTGGGCAGAGCACAGATAGACCTTTGTGTAGCTTTGTGCTTCACAACAAACAAGCAAACAATAAGTAAATGTCGGCAAAGAAGGGTTAATAAAATCAAGTGGAATGATGGGAAATGAAGTTTCCTGTTGGTCGTTTTCAGCTATTTATTTAAGAAAGGGACAACGAAGCGGCGGATAACTATCTATCTATTCGCTCCAAACAGAAGACTGAGAACAACGGTACAGTTTGGTTTACTATCACGTGTGTTAAGTAAATACTGTGTGATCCACATTGCCACAAGTAACTAGTTTTAATGGGATGAAAAAATTCTAATGAGGACAACTGGCGAACACATAAACTAACTATATAGTTTGCCCCCACCACCAGCTTATAACACTAAAATTCGGGTTTCGATACCGGCGGCCAGAGCACAGATAAGCCCATAGATAGAAATAAACAGTTTTTGTAACTGCCATCATTATAAAGTGTGTCATTCTTGGGCACCTTGATATAAAGAGTGGAGCATAACAAAACTCCAATAAAACACAACAGTCACATAAGCCTTGCTTTTGTCTAATAACTTATTAGCGAAAACAAGGCAAAATATACGATTATGTGTCAACTCCACTATATATCTATAGCCGACGAGACCATTCGCTAATAACCAGGGCTCATGATTATTAGGTTGTATTTACGAGATCACCTAACGGGTCTGATATTATATATGTTCAATGTGTCCAACGTTATCAGCGCATGCGGGACATAAAATATTTTATAAAAAAATTTCGCGAAATAGAACAGAATTAGCGTCTTTATTGGGAGGGGGGGGGGGGAATTCATTATGGTCCACTCACCATCTGTTGTCAATTTTGTATACGGGTATAGAAGAACGGTTTAGATTTTTGGGATAAATATAGAGAGTGAAGTAAACATCACGTATAAGAAAAAATATATATAAAATTGATAGAGAATTGGTTAGAGATTTTTTATGTTCTGTCGGTAAGCGAGAGATGTCATGACAGAGCGTTTGTAAGCATTCAAACCGTGTTCTGTAATCATGACAAAAATCAAAATGTAGGTAAAATATTTAAGTTACTTTTTTTACTTAAGATCGAGCGTGGCCTATTTCTGGATAGCGTGCCGTACTGTGAATTCGATGGTTCGCGTCCCGTTACCGCAAACTCGTCCTGGGTGCGTTTTAAGAATGAAACCTACTTTTCGATTACAGTAGTCCCACGAGTTGGCGGTGGGTGCTGTTTAAGAGTTGCCTTCCCTCTAGTTTATTAGTTTAAAATTATGGATGACTTTGTTCAGATGACCTTGTGTGGCTTTCCTCGAACACATGACAGAAACATACTTTTTTTCCTAGGTTAAATGAGGGTTGAAATATATACCAAATTCCTTTAAAATGGTGGAATTCTTACTTCATGCTTACGCCTGGTAACTTAGCGATAAGTCTGAGGACGAACGTGTAGCTTTGTGCTTAACAGCAAACGTACAAATTCTCCTACTCGGTTCTTAAAGTGTGAAAGTAAACCAAAAATACCTTAAGAAATAATGTGGGTGTTACGTTTTACTTCCTTAAATGTGCGTGAAAATATACACGAAGTGGTTATTATAATTGTACGGTTGTTACGTTTTATTTCCTTAAATGAGTGTGAAAATATTACACGAAGTGGTTATTAGAATTATACGGTTGTTACGTTTTATTTCCTTAAATGAGTGTGAAAATATACACGAAGTGGTTATTATAATTGTACGGTTGTTACGTTTTATTTCCTTAAATGAGTGTGAAAATATACACGAAGGAGTTATTAGAATTGTACGGTTGTTACATTTTACTTCCTTAAATGAGTGTGAAAATATACACGAAGTGGTTATTAGAATTATACGGTTGTTACGTTTTATTTCCTTAAATGTGTGTGAAAATATACACGAAGGAGTTATTATAATTGTACGGTTGTTACGTTTTACTTCCTTAAATGAGTGTGAAAATATACACGAAGTGGTTATTATAATTGTACGGTTGTTACGTTTTATTTCCTTAAATGTGCGTGGAAATATACACGAAGTGGTTATTAGAATTATACGGTTGTTACGTTTTATTTCCTTAAATGAGTGTGAAAATATACACGAAGTGGTTATTATAATTGTACGGTTGTTTCTTTTTACTTCCTTAAATGTGTGTGAAAATATACACGAAGGAGTTATTAGAATTGTACGGTTGTTACGTTTTATTTCCTTAAATGAGTGTGAAAATATACACGAAGTGGTTATTATAATTGTACGGTTGTTACGTTTTATTTCCTTAAATGAGTGTGAAAATATACACGAAGGAGTTATTAGAATTGTACGGTTGTTACGTTTTATTTCCTTAAATGAGTGTGAAAATATACACGAAGGAGTTATTATAATTGTACGGTTGTTACGTTTTATTTTCTTAAATGAGTGTGAAAATATACACGAAGGGTTATTAGGATTGTACGGTTGTTACGTTTTATTTCCTTAAATGAGTGTGAAAATATTACACGAAGTGGTTATTAGAGGGTCCAGAGCTCGCGTCCCGTTACCACAATATATACACGCACATACATACACACATGCGAATGCGTTATAAGAGTGACGGTCAAATCCTACTCGATTAGAGCATCGCAAAAGTTGACGATAGGTGCTGTAGACTAGCTCTAACCTCCACCACCACCCCCCTCAGTTCAATATATAGGACGACTAGCGCAGATATCCCTCGTGTAGCTTTGCACTAATATCCAAAACAAACCAATCAAGGAACTTATTAACTAGTAAATTTAAGTATGATTATATATCAAAGTTAGTGATTGAAGCAAGCTGTGCTAATAACAAATGAGAAAGGGAATAATTAGCCTTAAGACAGGAAATATTCGCCTGTAGTAAAATTCATCTTTAAATATTTATAGACACGAGTTTTCGAAATTTGATGTGTCATTTGAAGCACCGTTTTAAGGCCTACTAGACTAATTTCGCGTGGTTGCTAGAACCGGATCGAAACAGGGTAATTACTCGTGGTTGCTAGGAAACCGGATCGAAACAGGGTAATTACTCGTGGTTGCTATGACACCGGATCAAACAGAGTAATTATCATGAGTGAACGGACCTAAAAATATAAAAAGATTTTGTTTGCCCACCCAATCTTGTATATATTTGTCACTGTATCTTTCTGTTTCTCAACCAATTTATCTGTCTATCTATCTATAGCCGTTGCTGTAGATATGTAAATTGCGGGATTTATTATTTCTACACCACTGAAAGTCCTAGTGTTACAGATTACACAAAGTTGTCAGAGTTATACTTCTGCTGGATGTCAAGATGTTGAATAGTAGACATAAAGAAACTATTAGTCTTATGATTGTGAGGTTAGTGTAGAAGTCGCTGATTATCATATATGAAAGTAAAAATAAAATTGTTACTTAATAGATTGTGAAGGTAATGTGTCAGCTGCTGGGTTGTGAAGGTACTGTGTCAGCTGCTGGGTTGTGAAGGTAATGTGTCAGCTGCTGGGTTGTGAAGGTACTGTGTCAGCTGCTGGTTGTGAAGGTAATGTGTCAGCTGCTAGATTGTGAAGGTACTGTGTCAGCTGCTGGGTTGTGAGGGTAATGTGTCAGCTGCTAGATTGTGAAGGTAATGTATCAGCTGGTGGGTTGTGAAGGTACTGTGTCAGCTGTTGGGTTGTGAGGGTAAAAATGAAGTTATTAGTTATGTTCTGAAGGTAAAGATATTAGTTGACAGACCCTGAAGCAAATGATGTTAGTTGTGAAGTTAAAGTTGAAGACGTTGTATTATGAAGGTAAAGATTAAGTTGTTGTTTTATTATGAAGATAAAAATTAAGTTGTTGTTTTATTATGAAGGTAAACATTAAGTTGTTAGTTGTTATGTTCTGAAGGTAAACATTAAGGTTTTAGGTTTTGAAGGTAAAGATGAATTCAGATTTTGACGGCATAGATGAGTCTAAATTGTTGGATTGAGAACATAACATAGTTGAAGAGAAATGACTTAAGAAAGCTGTGAACATTTTAATAAGTTGTAGCATCCATTCTAACGAACAACTCCATATCGAATACAATAAGAACTAAAAACATTATTTCACAAATTACCAAATCATTTGAAGAAGTGACTAATTTCTAGCTCTACTATTGGTGTTTCTTCAACAATAAGTCAGTTTCTAGCTCTACTATTGGTGTTTCTTCAACAATAAGTCAGTTTCTAGCTCTACTATTGGTGTTTCTTCAACAATAAGTCAGTTTCTAGTTCTACTATTGATGTTTATTCAACAATAAGTTAGTTTCTAGTTCTAATATTGATGTTTATTCAACAATAAGTTAGTTTCTAGTTCTAATATTGATGTTTATACAACAATAAGTTAGTTTCTAGTTCTACTATTGATGTTTATTCAACAATAAGTTAGTTTCTAGTTCTACTATTGATGTTTCTTCAACAATAAGTTAGTTTCTAGTTCTACCATTGATGTTTATTCAACAATAAGTTAGTTTCTAGTTCTACTATTGATGTTTATACAACAATAAGTTAGTTTCTAGTTCTACTATTGATGTTTATACAACAATAAGTTAGTTTCTAGTTCTACTATTGATGTTTATTCAACAATAAGTTAGTTTCTAGCTCTACTATTGATGTTTATTCAACAATAAGTCAGTTTCTAGCTCTACTATTGATGTTTCTTCAACAATAAGTCAGTTTCTAGTTCTACTATTGATGCATGTTCAACAATAAGTCAGATTCTAGCTGTTCTATTGATGTTTCTTCAACAATAAGTCAGATTCTAGCTGTTCTATTGATGTTTCTTCAACAATAAGTTAGTTCATAATTTTACTATTGATGTTTATTCAACAATAAGTTAGTTTCTAGTTCTACTATTGATGTTTATACAACAATAAGTTAGTTTCTAGTTCTACCATTGATGTTTATTCAACAATAAGTTAGTTTCTAGTTCTACTATTGATGTTTATACAACAATAAGTTAGTTTCTAGTTCTACTATTGATGTTTATTCAACAATAAGTAAGTTTCTAGTTCTACTATTGATGTTTCTTCAACAATATGTTAGTTTCTAGTTCTACTATTGATGTTTCTTCAACAATATGTTAGTTTCTAGTTCTACTATTGATGTTTATTCAACAATATGTTAGTTTCTAGTTCTACTATTGATGTTTATTCAACAATATGTTAGTTTCTAGTTCTACTATTGATGTTTATTCAACAATATGTTAGTTTCTAGTTCTACTATTGATGTTTATTCAACAATATGTTAGTTTCTAGCTCTATTATAACTCTACCAAGTAACCCATACACATGATATTTATTGTCATCAAGTAACCCATACACATGTTTGCTGTCACTAAGTAACCTATACACACGAAGTTTACTGTCACCAAGTAACCCACACAAATGATGTTTGTTAGTTTTTTCTATTGATACTTCTTGAACAATAAGTTAGTTTCTAGTGATCATCTAACGATGATTCTTGAACAATAAGTTCTTTAGTTTCTAGTGATCATCTAACGATGATTCTTGAACAATAAGTTCGTTAGTTTCTAGTGATCATCTAACGATGATTCGTGAACAATAAGTTAGTATCTAGTGATCATCTAACGATGATTCTTGAACAATAAGTTGGTTAGTTTCTAGTGATCATCTAACGATGATTCTTGAACAATAAGTTGGTTAGTTTCTAGTGATCATCTAACGATGTTTCTTGAACAATAAGTTGGTTAGTTTCTAGTGATCATCTAACGATGTTTCTTGAACAATAAGTTGGTTAGTTTCTAGTTATCATCTAACGATGATTCTTGAACAATAAGTTAGTATCTAGTGATCATCTCACGATGTTTCTTGAACAATAAGTTCGTTAGTTTCTAGTGATTATCTAACAACAAGTTTGTGCTGTAGAAACGGATCTTGATTGCCTATTTTTCAGGTTTTTGACAAAGATGTCGTCTTTAGGGGCTCCCATTATGTGTAGCAGCATACCAGGGTTTGTTCAGAAGCAGCGCCGCCTATGTCAGAAACACCCCGACGTTATGGCCAGCATTAGTAGAGGAGTAAGAGTAGGTGTGAAAGAGTGCCAACATCAGTTTCAGAACCATCGTTGGAACTGTTCGACAGGGGACACGGGTACTTCAGTGTTCGGGAAATTCATGCTCAAGAGTAAGTGTCAACCCATACTGTCCCCAAGTAAACCCCCCCCCCGACACACATGATGAGTACTATCACCAAGTAACCTACACATGATGTTTAATATCACCAAGTAGCATACACACATGATGTTTAATGTCACCAAATAACCTAGATACATGTTTAATGTCACCAAGTACCATACACATGATGTTTAATATCACCAAGTAACATACACATGATGTTTAATGTCACCAAGTAGCATACACACATGATGTTTAATGTCACCAAGTAACATACACACATGATGTTTAATATCACCAAGTAACATACACACATGATGTTTAATGTCACCAAGTAGCATACACACATGATGTTTAATGTCACCAAGTAACATACACACATGATGTTTAATGTCACCAAGTAACCCACACACGTGATGTTTAATATCACCAAGTAACATACACACATGATGTTTAATGTCACCAAATAACCTAGATACATGTTTAATGTCACCAAGTAACCCACACACGTGATGTTTAATATCACCAAGTAACATACACACATGATGTTTAATGTCACCAAGTAGCATACACACATGATGTTTAATGTCACCAAGTAACATACACACATGATGTTTAATGTCACCAAATAACCTAGATACATGTTTAATATCACCAAGTAACATACACATGATGTTTAATGTCACCAAGTAGCATACACACATGATGTTTAATGTCACCAAGTAACATACACACATGTTTAATGTCACCAAGTAACCCACACACGTGATGTTTAATATCACCAAGTAACATACACATGATGTTTAATGTCATCAAGTAACATACACACATGTTTAATATCACCAAGTAACATACACACATGATGTTTAATATCACCAAGTAACATATTAAACATCATGTGCGTATGTTACTTGGTGACATTAAACATCATGTGGGTATGTTACTTGGTGACATTAAACATGTGTGTAGGTTACTTTGTAACATTAAATATCATGTGTGTGGGTTACTTGGTGATATTAAACATCACGTGTGGGGGTTACTTGGTGACATTAAACATCATGTGTATGTTACTTGGTGACATTAAACATCATGTGTGTATCAACAAGTAACCCACACACATGATGTTTAATGTCAACAAGTAACATACACACATGATGTTTAATGTTACAAAGTAACCTACACACATGATGTTTACTGTCACCAAGTAACATACACACATGATGTTTAATATCACCAAGTAACATACACACGTGATGTTTAATGTCATCAAGTAACCTACACACATGATGTTTAATGTCATCAAGTAACCTACACATGATGTTTAATATCACCAAGTAACATACACACGTGATGTTTAATGTCATCAAGTATCCTACACATGATGTTTAATATCACCAAGTAACCTATACACATTATGTTTACTGTCACCAATAACCCACACATGATGTTTACTGTCACGAAGTGTTTGCAGAGATATTTTCTATGTTGAATATTTGCATACTTTAGTAGGTTATTTTTATTTCAGCCGGTAGCCGTGAGGCGGCGTTTGTGTATGCTATCAGCTCTGCTGGCGTTGTTCACTCTATTACCAGGTCCTGTAGTCGAGGGGACCTGAGCGACTGCTCCTGTGACCCCAGGAAAAGAGGAACCTTTCGTGACGTCCACGGAGAGTTTACCTGGGGCGGCTGTTCCGAGTACATACGCTACGGCTCCAAGTTCGCCCGGAAATTCGTAGATGCCCGAGAGCTGAGCCAGAGCGACGGCCGAGCTCGGATGAACGTCCACAATAACCAGGCAGGTCGAAGAGTGAGTGTCGAATTAACACCGTTATTGGTTGCTGTGCTCTCTAGAAATGATATCTCGTCTGGTTAACTTCACATGAGCGTTTGTTTAATAGCAGTGAACGTTTTTCATATTTGAGGAAACTATAAACTGTCCAGTATGAAAGTTTTAATATAGTTTGTGTATGTATAAGTGTGATGATAGGAATGAAAAATACAACATGAGTTACAGTTTAGAAAAAAAAATAATTACTTTATAATAGTCTGTAAG